GCTGGACATGGGCACCAGTGACCCCCACAACCCGAAAAGGAAGAAGCTAGTAAAGATGATGGATGGATGGATGGATGGATGGATGGATGGATGAATGGATGGATGGATGGATGGATGGATGGATGGATGGATGGATGGATGGATGGATGGATGATGGCTATTGCTAACAATAGAATTAAACAAAAACAAATGATGACTCGATAGTTTGATTTGCATGCGTAGCACTGAAACACAAAAAAGGAAAACAAAACTCAGATGTTACGTACAATTAAGTTTTTCCTTTTCTTTTTTTTTCTTTTCTTTTTTTTTTTTTTTTTTGTTAAATAAAGCTACAATTGTTTTCTTCCATTTTATCAATGTAGTCTGGAAAGCACACAAAGATTCAAAAGAACTGGCTAATTTCCCAGCTGAACTTCTCCACCATGTTAAAGGTGCATTCCAATGTAAAGTAGTCAGTAAATATACAGCATGTCGTTTTGGCACAAACTGTTTAAAAGTCATCCAGGATTTTGGTTTATATTTCTCCATTTTTTCAGATCTGCTTTGACAGAACAGTTCTCTATTGTCCTGACTGCCTAGTTTGCTCCTATTACAGTACCTTGAGTCAGTGCACCCTCTGCTGAGCAGTAAACAGTACAACCAGATGGAAATATTGGCTAATCACTTCAAAGAAACTGAAGCAGCGCAACTCCAGAGATACCTGATTTTAAAGTCCTGGTGGGCAACAAATTACGTAAGACATGAGTTTTTTTTGTGTGTGTGAAAGCTAAACTCATTTGGTTCATAATGTTTTACTATTATAACATGATATCTTCTCAAGGTGAGTGACTGGTGGGAGGAGTACATCTACCTGAAGAGCAGGGGTCCAATCATGGTCAACAGTAACTTTTACATAATGGTGAGCTCAGTTTTTTGTTTCTTTTTACTTTTACTTATCCCCAGTCAGTAAGCCTTTTCACATTTTCTTAATCCTTGTCATTTTAATTTTCTGAGCTACATTAACAGTGTTTGATCTGTTTCCATAAAGGACCTGTTGTATGTGACTCCAACACACCGGCAGGCGGCGCGGGCAGGAAATGTGGTCCATGCTCTGCTGCAGTACAGACGCAAACTGGAGCGAGGTGAACATGAACCGGTAATATTACAAGTGCTTTTATATTCCAACCTCTTTTCACCAAAAGGTTCAACTTTTGATATATTATGTTGTTGTTTTTTTTGTCTTCTCAGCTGAGGGCCTTAGGGACAGTTCCCATGTGCTCCACTCAGATGGAGAGGATGTTCAACACCACCCGCATCCCAGGAATAGAAACTGGTGAGTACCGGTAAATGCTTTGGGTCTAAATGAAAGAAACTTGTGGAATTTTCAACTCTTTAAATATTGCCAAATCAGATGATTTCCATTAACTGTTAAAATACACACCTATTCAGGCATCACTGCACATGCACAACTCAGAAGTGGCAGAAACAGGAAGATACAGGCACTACATCTTCTCTTACTTGAAACTGTCTGCAGACATTGTCCAGCACCTGACAGACCGAAAGCACCTGGTTGTTTACCACAAAGGCCGATTCTTCCAAGTTTGGCTGTACGCTGGAGGACGCCATCTTTTACCCAGTGAACTGGAGACACAGTTTCAAAAGATCCTCAATGACACATCAGAACCCCAACCAGGAGAGCTCAAACTGGCTGCGCTGACTGCAGGAGACAGGCATGTACCGTACACATGTGCAGAGGACACAAACTTGTATCATTACTTGGATTAAATTGCTTTGCTTTAATTTCTAGAGTTCCATGGGCTCGTGCTCGGTTGAAGAATTTTAGCCACGGAGTAAACAAAGCATCCCTGGATTCCATAGAGTCAGCTGCATTCTTTCTGACCTTTGATGAAGAGCCGCAGGGTTATGACCCATCAACGACAAACTCACTTGATAACTACGCCAAGTCCCTGCTGCATGGGAAATGTTATGACAGGTAGATTAAGAAGATGAAATAACTTTGACCTTTGGGGAGGGGGTTATTCCCAGAAAACACTGTTCTTATTGTTACAGGTGGTTTGATAAGTCTTTCACCTTAATCTCATATCCAAATGGAAAGATCGGTGTAAACGTAGAGCACTCTTGGGCCGATGCACCCATTGTTGGACACATGTTAGAGGTATAAAACACATTTTAGAACTGAAATTTGGATGTTCAAAGGTTTGCAGTTTTTCCTCAGCTGTAACTGTCTTGTCTATGTAGTATGTTCTTGCAACAGACTGCTTTCAGCTTGGCTACACAGAGGAGGGACACTGTAAAGGAGATGTGAACAGGGGCCTGCCGAATCCAACTAGACTACAGTGGCAGATCTCAAAGGAGGTGAAGTAGAACCACTAATGGTGACTATTAGATTTGATATTTTAACAGCATTTAATTATTTTTGCTTTCTCCATCTTAGTGCCAAGATGTCATTGAGACTTCGTACTTATCAGCCAAACATATAGCTGATGATGTGGACTTTCATGGCTATTTGTTTACTGACTTTGGCAAAGGTCTGATCAAGAAGTGCAGGACGAGCCCTGACGCCTTCATTCAGCTGGCTCTGCAGCTAGCACAGTTCAGGGTAGATCTGTACTCAGTCACTTACTTACATTAAAGTGTCACTACATCACACCAAACCCTTTTCTTTGCAGGACCAGGGAGTGTTCTGTTTGACATACGAGTCCTCGATGACTCGTATGTTCAGAGACGGACGGACAGAGACTGTACGCTCCTGCACCTCAGAGGCTGTTGCATTTGTTAGATCAATGGAGGACGTTAGTGCAACAGTAAGCAGACCACACTAAAGCATTTAAGATTTACTAGGACAAAACAGAAGGGCAGCATAAGAAGACAACAATTATGTAACCGTGGAATATATCTGTAGAAGTTGAATGAGGTTTTTTTTTTCCAAATTAAAAGACTTTGGACACATGCAGTGTGATGTGTGTTCTCGTGGCATGTTTGTACACATTGTGAGAAGCACAATGTGGCCTCTCACCATGTTTAAAAGGTCTAATAGGTTACTTTGTGCTGTTAAGGACAAGGTCACCAAGACTTTAAGGTAATGTGTGTTCATGCCCTGGACTCTGAACTTACTGATGTTCTGACAGAAGCTGTGTTTAAGGTCATTTTGATGTCATACTCTTAAAATAATAGATTGGTTTTCTGTAGTGATGTATGTGTGAGTTACAGGGGAATGGCTGATAAGGTAAAACATTTGTTGTGCCTGCTGTTTGTGTGACCAGAATGCCCAAAGACTCTCACTGTTTCGAAAAGCGGCAGAGAAGCATCAGAACATGTATCGTCTGGCCATGACTGGTTCTGGTATCGATCGTCACCTCTTCTGCCTTTACATAGTGTCCAAATACCTTGGTGTTGACTCTCCATTTCTCAAGAAGGTTAGAACTAAAAATCATCTCATTCTCATTTTATAGGCTTGTTTTGTACAACTAGCCTGTCCTTCTTCTTTTTTATCTTTTCATGTCTACACTTTCAGGTACTTTCAGAGCCATGGAAGTTGTCCACAAGTCAGACTCCACAGCAGCAGCTTAACTTAGTTGACATCAATAAGTTCCCTAAATATGTGGGTGCTGGAGGTGGCTTTGGTCCAGTAAGTTATTTGAGTTTATGTAGGTCAAAGTAAAGTGTTTGATACATATGATCTCATACAGAAGTCTGTTTTATGGTAGGTGGCAGATGATGGCTACGGTGTGTCTTACATCATTATCGGGGAAAATCTCGTCACATTCCACATTTCCAGCAAGTTCTCCAGTCCTGACACAGTAAGAGCACCAAATGAAAGCTTTTTTATTATTATAGATCCATCTGAATCCCACCTCTGTCCAAGTTCAATGATCCGTTTCTCTCCTTGTCTGTGTGACCTGCAGAACTCCTGCCGGTTTGGTCAGCACATTCAAGAGGCCATGACTGACATTCAAAAGCTTTTCAAGCTGGAAAATGATAAGAAGATGGATGAGCGTGTGAAGTGTGTGCAGGTGGTAAATGGGAAAAAGCACATGTAAGACATTGAGGGGAACATATTCTTGCCATCTTTTGTTCATTATAAACAAAGCTCTGGTGAAAGTTTGCACTATCTCCTTTCCTGGTGAGTTTTATTCCAGAAGCCTGGCATTCCACTCAGTCAGACAAAAGCAAGTTAATAATCCACTAATTCATCTCTATTTTACATATCAGAGTGGCTTTGTTCAGTGCCGAGGGACAGATGTCTCTTTCACCATGGGATATTTTGTTTTTACCATGTCTGTATTTCTGCTGTTATTGTATATTGTAGATTGTATATAGGTCCTGTCTAGAGTAAAATAAAAACTTTATTATGGGCTGTTGTTAGGAAACTTGTAAATAAATGTGCCTGATAAATCCTGCACTGTTTAAATGCTTTATTAAATACCACTTGATAAATCTGAACAGACTAACAAGCTGCTAGTTTGACTGCACCAGTTTTGTTGCAGTTTTAAAATTCCAATCTTTAAGAGTTGTTTTAATATGTCAGCGTTCCACTTTGGTCTTGGTTCTGCTCTAGCTATCTGTTGACATAACAACTGGTCAGAATAAACTCAATTTCTCCAACCCGAGGCTGCTCAAAGAGCTATTTACAACATGTAAGAAATGATTTCCACAGAACCTCACTTCAAAAGTTCAAACTAATACTTCAGTATGAAAAGTACTCAAAACATCCATCCATCCATCCATTTTCTTTACCCGCTTATTCCATTTTGGGTCACGGGGGTCGCTGGTGCCCATGTCCAGCAATCACTGTGCGAGGGGCGGGGTACACCCTGGATGGGTCGCAAGTCCATCACAGGGCCACATAGAGACAAACGAGACAAACAACCATTCACTCTCTCACTCACACCTAGGGACAATTTAGAGTTACCAATCAGCCTAACATGCATGTTTTTGGACTGTGGGAGGAAACCGGAGTACCCGGAGAAAACCCACGCATGCACGGAGAGAACATGCAAACTCCACCCAGAAAGGCCCCTGGACCGGGGTTTGAACCAAGGACCTGCTCGCTGAGAGGCAGCAGCTCTACCAGTTGTGCCACCGTGCTGCCCTACTCAAAACATTTCATTTACTATTTGTTCAACTGATGGCTAACTTTGCTAATACTTTTTCATTCATTCAAACATTATTTATACAGGTTAGTCTCATTGAGTCACGTGGACTCATTTTCAAGAGAGACCTGTTTTTAACAACAACAAAAAAGACAGATGAGGTACACACAATAAACAGTCATAAAAAGCATATGAAATGAAAAGTAAATAAAAGTAGTGATTTAAAACAAAATAAAAACAAGTTACATTATGAAACAGGATAAAATACTAAAAACAGGAACATGTCTGCATTGAATTTAAAAGTTGTTTAAAATCCCATAGAGAGGTCAAAGTCGAGAACGTCAAGTCTTTTTGCAAGGTATTCCAGGTTACAGGAGCAGATTAAGAAAAGACCCTTTTGCTAAATTCATTTCGCACTGAGGGGAGGCTGCAGGTAATGATGTCTTGAGAGCATACTTTGTAGCTGCACTGACGACGTAACATGGAGATGTATGAAGGCAACAGACCAAGAAGAGATTTAAAGATGAAAATGTACCAGTGAGAGAGTCTGCATGAAGTTAATTATGACCAGTTAACCAGTGAATACGATGATGGGTATGATAGTTACAGCCAGTTATGAATCTTAACGCACCGTGATACAGCATCAAACATCTGCAGGGTGCTTGCAGGAGCATTCATGTAAATAATGTCACCATAGTCAATGGCCGGAAAGAGTCGCAGTTACAAGGTGTTTCCTAGCGTTCAGATTTAAACAAGATCTATTTCTGAAAAAGAAACCCAATTTTAATTTCTTTATAAAGTTCTCGACATGAGGCGCGCATCGATCAAGATTCCCAAGTATTTGTAAAAATCGACAAACTCCGTTGGAATAGCATTTGTAGATAAAAAAGAAGCAAGAACTGGTACTGACTTCCTGTTTAAAAACAACATCCCTTTGGTTTTATCAGCATTTAGCAGTTTGAGATGGAACAAATTTGACTGAATTATGTCAAATGCAGACTGTAAAAGCTGGAAAACCTTAGCAACTGATTTAGCTCGACAGTAAACAACTGTGTTGTTGGCATAGAAACGTAAAGATACATCGGGAATGTTCTGACCTACATTACTTATGTAGATTATAAATAGGGTGGGTCCTAAGACTGAGCCTTGTGGTACACCATTGTTGACAGTTAAGTAAATGGAAGAAGTACCATTGTGTTGAACACACTGCCTCCTTACTTTTCAATAAAAAACTTTTTTATCAAAAAACTGAAATAAAATGTTTTTAAGAGGTGTATTGGAAGCCAAGGGAACAGGATTTTTCCCCCCTCGTTTCTGACATTTTCAGAGATCTCAGATTATTCTACTCCATTAGGATAAAGGGAGAAAAAGAAGCCAGTTGTAAACTTTAGACTTGCTTTTAGTACGTCAGGCATCATTAAAAAAATAAAATATACCACATCCCATAAAGGTGTAATGAGTTCAAAGTAAATGGTTCTATGATACAATAAAAAAAAGAATATATTTAATTTTCAGTATAAATCCATGTTAAGAATATGTTCTGGCAAAGCAAGCGTTTCCTCATGTACAGCTAAATTTAAAAAATAAAAGTGGAATAGCAACCTTTTTTTTTTTTACATTTAAGGGCCGAGATGGGGTAGAGGTAGCCAGGACAACCGACTTAGGACCAGAAAGTTGCAGTTCGACTCCCAGCCATTCCCAAATGTCATGGTGTGTCTGAGCAAAACACCTAATCCCCAACTGCTCCCTGGGTCCTTACATAGCTGCCCACTGCTCCATACCGTTCCACTGTATCTCATGTAATGGGTTAAATGCAGGGAACTAATTTCGCCATTGTATGGGAACATTTAATGATGACATCTCAGACTTCCCTTTTTGTTAGTTTACTGTTTATCTAAACAGCTTAACTTCTCCTTTGTATGTACTTATTATTATTGTAGTTAGTAGCAAATTCAAACTACTTCACATGAACATGGGTATAATTGATTTTACAGCTAAATAAGAGCCCCCCCCCCCCAAAAAAAAAAAAAAAGAAAAATCTGATAAAAAAAAAAATAAATAAAAAAATATATAA